GAACCCAAGCCACTGCATTTTTTTCTGCAACACATGGTCACCTGAGCAGTCACATTTTTAACCATACACTGCTTTATTCTATACACCGCTATACACTACTGTCACGTGACCCAACTGACTTCAAGTGTTTTATCTAGCTCACATCTCTGACCGATTTAGAATCACTTAATCTAACATGAATGTGTTTGGGACTGTGGGAGGAAATCAGAATACCCAGAGGAAACCCACACAGGCACAGTGAGAACCAACAATGTCCACACATATAGCCCACAGCTGGTTGGCCTTCTTGCTGTGAGGCAACACAGGTAATCACCACACAACCGCAGCATTTGAGAGTGAGAATAAGATTGCCTTTTGGCAAATGCAATCCCTTTTTTGGTTTACACAGCAGGCAACAAAAGCAATCTAGGAAAGCAATCTTGAAACCATCATCTAATGACTCTTATCAAAGTTGTTTATTTGCTTTGTTAAATTTATATTTATTTGAAAATACTGACTAAAGTAGCTATCTGGCTGGGGGCAGTGTGGAATGCAAAGTTTGCATGTTTGGGTACTCCAGCTTTCTCCCACAGTCTAAAGACTTGGAGATAAATTATCTGAATTTCAGGAGCGGGAACATGCCTCCAAACAGCAAGTAACTAAACTCAGAATCGCTAACAGACAAAAAACTTGACAAGAAAGCACAGTGGATATCATCAAATTAACACCAAAAACAGAACCCAGAAAGCTAAAACTAAGGAGGGCTGAAATTTAAATGCTAAGCACAGAGTAAAAGCCAAACAACAAAGAACAAATGATAAAACACTAAGACATTAGAACTATGCAGAGAACCCAAAACTGGAACTCAGACCTCAGACTCAGAATCAAAACCCCCCAATAGTCCAAACACAGAAACGCTGGGGCAACGACCCAGGACCACGACACAGTGCTCTGGCTGTGAGCCTTGCAAAAGTGTCTGAAGTTTTAGCAAAATAATTTTTTTATGATTTAACAAATAAACAATACTGTATTTCTCACCACACAGAATCAAAGTAATTGACCACCACTCATCTGTAATGTATACTAAACTGTTTACTTGTGATTTCTGATGTCCAAATTATTTTTTACCAGGATGTCTTTGGCAGAGATGGGCAGTAACGCGTTACTGTAATCTGATTACTTTTTTCAAGTAACGAGTAAAGTAAGGGATTACTATTGCAAAAACGGTAATTAGATTACCATTACTTTCCCGTAGTAACGCTGCGTTACTGCGTTACTAAAACCGTGATTTTTTTTTTTTTTGCGAGAATGTCTCACGACAGTGACGTAAGCGAGTGCACCGTTAGTGACAACAGCTGTGTGCAGATCAACAATGGATCACATATCAATTGTGGGAGAGAGTATGAGCGTGCAGCGTTTAAAGCGTGGAAGTACTGACCTTACTTTGAGTTTGATTCCATAAAAAGTGACAAAAACATTAGTGTCCGTTGTGCGTGGGAAGAAAACTTCTTTTTACAGCGAAAAAACCCCCTAAACTTCCAAACAAGCACGGAGTGCGCTACGACGTAATGGGAAACTCACAGAGAAACTCGCGGATTCCTCAACTGACCGCTGCGGCACACCTGCACCAGGGTAAACCTCTGCCTACCTCTAGTCCTGCTTTACAGGTGAAAATAGAGCAACAGGACCGCTGAGTCTTTGACTTTATTTATTTTCTGCTGTGTTTTACTTGCATCTATTTGAAAGACTGAGTGTAAACACAAAAAATATTTTATTTTCTGTGCTGGAATGTGCAGAAAATAGGTTTAAATGTTAAACTAATTTATTCAAGTCAGAGAATGTTGCATATAATTAAATTTTTGCTTGATGCATAAAGTTAAAAGATTAAAACTAATAAAACAAGTTAAAAAAGAGACTTTTCCATTTGATTACATTTTGTATGATGGATTATGTAGAAAAAGTAGAATTGGGCTGAAAGATCTATCGCTTTATCACCTCTTCAGGTTGTAAATCGTGTTTTTAAAAAGTAACTAAGTAACTAAGTAATTAATTACTTTTGAAAATAAGTAATCAGTAAAGTAACGGGATTACTTTTTGGGGAAGTAATCAGTAATTAGTTACTGATTACTTTTTTCAAGTAACTTGACCAACACTGGTCTTTGGTAGTAACTGTTATACACAAACAGACAATGCTTTAGGAGCTCAAAAACAAAGAAAAACAGAATAAGTGTCTAAATATTGAGAAAAAAAATAGAGATATAGAAAATAGGAAAAAAATGAAATAAAATTCATGTCATGATAGAGAAATAGACAAAAATTTGACCAGAAATTAAGTTTGTTCCAGTTTGTTCCAAAATTGAGAAAAATAGGTAAATGGGACTAAAACAGAGACAGAAAACCATTCACATTTACAGCCATACATAGTTTAGAATTGCCAATTAACCTAAACCCACTAACTGCATGTTTTTGGACCGTGGGAAGAAGTCTGGGCACCCAGAGGAAATCCACACAGGTACAGGGAGAACATATTATTTTCACCAATTTAATTCTGAAATGACAGCAACACCCTTGGAGATGCCCAACATTAATATTCCCACATTCATGGAAAGATTCAGAAAAAAAAATGAACTCAGCTATTTTAACTGTTTCTTTGATATGATGTTAATTACACTGAAGCAGGTGTTTAGTACATGTACACATTACCTACCTACAATGCAGCGGTGCTCTCAGTACGCTAGTCTGGTTTGCTTTGGTTCTGAAGAAACACTGTCCAGTGCAATGATGTAAACACTGGGTCGCGTTCCTAATTCCACTGAAAAAAACAAAATCTAAACTCAGTTTGACAGCTAAGTTGATCCCCCTCCTCATTTCCCCAGTAGAGCTTGGCTTGTGTTTTCACCCCTTTTAATCTCAGGCATTTACAAGCACCCCTCTAAACAACCTACCAGGTGTGTTAAGCCTCCTGCTGAAGGGCTGTAGAATGTTGAGACTCCAATATGATTAGTGCAAAATGGGCTGTGAATAGAAGAATGAAAGCTTTTATAATGTGAAAGACTGTTAGCACAGTGATGTGCTGGTCTGAGCTCCCATGACCAATCTACAACTAATGAGCATTCAGTGAGCGTGCCCTGTGTCACAAGTGTGATGGAGACACTGAGGCAAGAATTTCTCATATTTGTCAGTAACATGAGCTAAGTGCTTTGGTCAAGTTTTGATTTTATTGTATGAATTCAATACGCCAAGAACATTTGTACACTGTCTTCTGGTTGATAGAAATTCATGGGGCTGGACAATAGTAAGTGAGGATTTTATAGTGAGATGTTTATTTTATGTCTGTGAAGGTTCTCAGTCGTCCTTAGTCTAAGGAGCTTTTTGTGAAATCTGTTTACCTGCTCTCATTTGCTGTTTTAGCTCTTTGGCAGTTGTTGAAATAGTTTTGTGAGCTTTAGACTGAGATTCTGACCTTTATGACAAAATGCATCTATACTTAAAAATTGATTCAGTCCCTACTCCCGAGTGCCAGTGATTCTTCTCCAAAATGGTGCAGCTCAGTTGGTATTTACAATTTGTAAATCATTCCATAATCCAATTTGTCTGCTGCTCAGCCACTCCCTTAAATAATGGCTCTTGACAGGGTCATTGCAGGCAGGTGTGTGATTGCCAGCAGGTGTATGTAACAAAAATTTCAAAAAGTTCCGCCACTGCACAAAAACTAGCACACACAGACACACATGCACGTGTTTTCTTGTCTTCCACAGCATGTCTTTGTCCTGTCTTCATCCTTACCTTACCTTGCAATATAAAGTATCTTGATGCAACAATGTATATAAATAAAACTGAACTGAATTGTTTGCTTTAGGATTTCATTGTTGCTATGTGCAGATGTTGTAGCCCTGTCGGCTTATCAAGTCACAGTGTACAACCACAGTAGACAGATGTTGTTAACCTCATTATCAAGTAAATTTCATGACACACACACACACAAAACACAACAAGACTGCTGATTTGTTTATTTGCATTTTTTTCTCTTCCAGGTGCTGTTTGTTTATTTTATGTTTTTTTCGCACAGGTTCAGAGGTTGGTGACCCGTTGTGCTTTTTTTCTTATGGTATTTCTTCTTTTTTCATCCACTTTCTTTTTTCTTTCTGTCTTTTTTCAGCTCTGACATTGTTATTTTCCACATGCATCAATGTAAATAATAATAACATAAATAATACATAAATAGATAAATAAAAGAAAAAAAAAAGCAAGGAGAGTTTATAGAGTGTTTCTTGGAAAAACGTGTTTGGCACAACAGTGCATTCGGATCATAAGTCTAAATGCAAAAGCTGCAAGAGGCTTTAAAAAAGGCTCAATCGTGTTGATTATGTTGTTTTTTCCAAACTAAGTTAAAGAACAATTTGTACCAAAGCAGATGAGAGGATATTTTTCTCTGTCATTTTACTTTAATTATAGCTGTCACCAAAATGTAAATGTAATGGTGAAACAGAATTTACAACCCAACAAAAGTTGATTTATAATCACTTTATAACAATGTTCTAACTGAATATAGTCTGCTGTCGGCCATTGACGGTAACATGCCTTTGATTTGCTCTCTATAGCACTCCTACTGTAAACAAACAACCATGATTATTGGACCAGAATAGGAAACTGAGATGTTACATGAGCTCCTGGCTTGCAACTAACATACACCAGCAGACATTCAGCTCAGAAAGGTAAAATTAGCTAATATTCTCTAACAATCTAGTCCAAAAAGGTAACATTTTTAGGCTGTTTAGAGAACAAACCAACACTTTTTTCTTCTTTTTTCTTTTTTGTTACTTCACAGCAATGGCCTGCATTAACAGAACAATCTGCATTTTTCCTGGCTAATGCTTACAGGTAAAATGTGTTCCGAAACTGAATAACAGATATGCCTCTTCATCTCCTTTTTTGTGGGGACATCTTATTTATCAATTACAAGCCACTGTGTAGATGTTGGCGCAGGCGTGAGTGCATTAGTAATACCCTGACATCAAGAACACTGGACTTGAGTTGTAACCTCTACTGGCTCCAGCAGAGAAACTGGAATATAACATTTGAAAAGTTTTATTTTTAGAGGTCCTGTGATGAAATTTATGGGTGTTTGAGCACTCCCATAAAGGGTGTAAACTCTCCAATGAGACAGAGAGATGGGCTGAGGGTTGAACTTGTCCGCGCGCACACGTTCGTGCACAAGTGTGTGCGTTTTTGTTTGTGGAATCGGTATAAAACCCTACGAGGACGAAGAGCCACCGAGCAGGTCGCTGGACTTCCCTATTTCTCCTGAAGAAATCTCTGCTGGACAACAGGAATTTTGTTGGGACAACTATGATGTTTCCCTGCGCTGCTCTGTCGCCTACTCTTTACCCGGGTTTCCTGCGTGTCCCTGCTACTCTCTCCGCGTCACTGAGCGAATCGGCGGCTCAGGGAAGAGGAACCGGCTTTCTGGTAGAAGATCACATAAGCCAACATGTCGGCTACATACATCGAACTTTCTCGTCCCTTAGTTCCGGAGACATTCTGCCGTTCAGTGCGGGGTCAAGGTCCTTTCCACGTACAACAGAACCAAGCACGGAGACATCCGGTCAACTCAGCCGCAGCAGCCCCCGATCTGTGTACGCAGCCAGCCCGGACTACCTGAAGTTCGGCGTCGGTACGATCCTGGCACCTTCTACATGGAGTCGTGAGTTTCTGATACCGATCTCTTTCTTTGCCCTTCTCTCCATAAATTTAACATATATATTTACACACACACACACACACACACACACACACACACACACGGGAGATCTGTTTTGACTTATCGGAGACTTGAAAAGTGCTGTTAGTTGAAGTGAATTAGCATAAAAATATTTATTATTATTATTGTCTTATGATTTTTTTTTTATTTCTACAAACAATTAGCAGTGTATTTCACTACCACGTAATTATAAGTAAAGAAAATGGTGAAAGTAGCGGTGACGAATTCAGGCCTTCATTCAAAAGTAAAAGCAAAGTTTTTAACTTTTAACCAATTTAATGAAAGTTAAGCAATGGACACGTGAACACCAATCGTCCAATACAGTCGTCTGATGAGGTTAGATCTGAGCTGCCCTTTCAGTGGCACTGCTATTAACAGTCATCTGTGTATATACATCTCTTTTCATGTTAAAATCCTAATCTGTCTGTGGATGCGAATCTGTTTTCTGTTTCCAGTCCAGAATCTTCAGACAAAGTCGCTCTCTCTGCCTTTTTTAGACAGAAGCCTTTATCCTTACATCAGAGCCTCTGATTTCACAGGTAGGTGGACTAGGAATGTTTATGTTGTCTTTTTAAACAAAGGATTTTTGATTTTGATTTGTGCAGCTTGTAAACTACTACATAATGTGTGTGATTTGAAGATATAAGGGAGAAAACATGACTTTGACTCTTGACTCATAATCACATTTACTTTCTGATGGGCTCTAACTAAAGGATACTTGATGTCTACTTAAAGTGTTTTGATTGTTCAGTGAGAAAAGAAATGTATTCACTTTGTTACCATATTCACACGCACATCATATGGCTACAAACAGACACTAAATGAAATGAAATGCCTGGAAAATAATGGGCCTGGATTTTTTGCATTTCATGATCCTTTGGCATCGGCGCCTCCAAAGAAATTATTTAATATTAGAGATGTTGACATATAGTTTTGTAGTTAACTGATATCAGGCTGATATTTACCTATGGAAATATCACATCCATTTTCCAAGATACTGTGATGCAGAGATGAAAGATTTTAGAACACCTCAGTTATTCATGGAGAATTCTTCCCTGTAACATTTGGGAGTATAATCTTATGCAATCAGTTATAGCCAACTAAAATAAGAAGGCTTTAAATTAAAATTATGGCACCAAATATTTGTGCTAATAATATGTAATTGATTTTATTCACACAGAATTGGTGTCTTTTGTTTATTCAGTTTAATTTAATGTAATGTATCCCTTCTTTCCATTTATTTTGAGTAATAAAGATGGTATTAATTAAATTAAAGAGGTAGGCCAGATTCAGATGCCTCAATCATTAGAGCTGGTTCCTTTCAGTGTAGAGAAACAGTGGCTCTGATCTGACCTTCAAATGACAAAGTTCCTCACCCTTTTCTCCAAATGTGAAACTAATCTCTGATGCATGTACCCACAATCATATTATTTTAATTATTACCCACAGTGTCTGGTCTTAAGTTAGGGTAGCAACATAGACTGACTAGTCTATTGACAGCTTCATCAAATCTCTCTCTACTATAACACACCAATGCAGTGGCGCTGCACTAGCACTCATTCCCCTGTTACACTCTTTGCCCAAGCTAACAAGCCAGCTTAGTTATGTGCATCCAGATACTACAATGATATCAGATGATACTGAGTGACTGATGAATTTACTTTTAATTGTTTTGCTAAAAAAGACCAACTGACACATGTAGCAAACTGGTTGCAAATTAATAAAACTGCCTCAAAGCCACATGTGTCAGTTTATTCCTTTTCAGCAGTACACTTAAAAGGAGACACCCTTTAATGCAGCCATTCACACCGACTGTGTAATTTCACTGGACAAATGTGCGGCATTTCCAATACTATTTTACTTCAGACACACTGCTAGATGATACTCTGGGTCTCCGAAATGATTTCTCTGCCTCCTCAGATGTGGTCTGAACTCTGCCAACAAAGGCTCAAACTGCCCCATTGGCGTCCTGAAATATGTGTGAAAGTGGCTTTGATACACCTTCAACTCCTGGATCAAACTATGACATTTTCAACTGCTGCTGCCTTCTCATGAGAATTCCAGAACAGGATGAACGCAAAATCTCTGCTTTTTACTTTTCTTTCCTTTTTTGAAAACATCAGCACCAGAACCATCATCGGTTAATGTCGAACTTTTTTTAGGATGAATTTTCAACAGAAATGCAACATGTTTAGTGTGTAAATCCATTATAAGGCAAGTTTAGATCTGGAAAACTTGGGAGTTTGTGTTGGTTTTTTTACAACACGTTAGCTGTCTAATGGTCCAAAAAGCCTTAACCTCCTAAGACCTGAACTCTTCCACTGCATGCATTTTTAATTTCTCTTTGATATTTGGGCATATATTTGTAAAAACAAATAATTACCAGATTTTTTTTTCACCTTATTTTTGTTTTTAAGAAAAATAAGAGCCACATATGAGGATATTTGTTTAAAATTTTGATAGAACAGTGTCAGTATAATGTCCTCGTAAGTGGATATCAGGCCCTTGTAGAGCAAAATTGAGTATTTTGGTCTAAATAACCCAAAATGCATGCATGAACTTGAGTTACATAATGATCGGGTTGGCTGTAGCTCAGGAGGTAGAGCAGGTCATCTACTAATCGAAAGGTTGGTGGTTTGATCCCTGGCTGATCCAGTTTGCATGCCAAATATCCTTGGGCAAGATACTAACCCGAAGTTGTTCTCTGATTCTTCCATCTGGCTGTGTGAATGTTAGATAGAAAACACTTAAGCATGGGAAAAATTGCCGGTATGAATGGGTGAACGAGGCATTTTGTGCTCAAGTGCTTTGAGTGTTTAGGTAGAAAAGTGCTATATAATAAACAGTCAGTTTACCATAATACATAAAAACAGTACACCATTACACAATTGCAGTTCTGGTACACAACATTCCTTTGTCATAAAGCCGACAAGTCTTCCAGCTAAGTTGCATTGGTTGTTAGTACCAACCATCTGAATTTCAGAGGCGCACATGGAGTGGTGATAGCACAAATACACGTGCCTTTATACCACAATACTAAAGTTGAAGTCTCATGTGTTTTTGTTTGGTTTGTTTTTCTTCTTCTTTCTCCTCATTATCTATTATTCTACTCATTATATATTATTTAGTAGACAATCATTATTTAATTTTAAAAATGCCCTTTTACAGTTTACAAAACCAAATTTTTCTGGGTAACGAGTTCTGACCCATCCAAAGGCTATGACACCAGCTGGGATTTTACATGCTCTTATTCACATAACTGCATGAGGGCACTTGATTTTTAAATGTTAGTAGTTGATTTTATTTTGTTGGTAGTTGTAATACAATGACAAAAGATGTACCCTTAGGCCCCCTCCTCAATTCGGAGATGGTTTTCTCTTTTCACATCACCTCCTTGACTTGAAACAAGAAACCACTGTGAACTTGAAGGCTCGTTAAAGTCAGCGCTGTAGTTCAGACATTTGCTCTGCTGCTCTGACTGTAATGAACTGAAGCAGGTTCAGTCCTGTAGCTGAAGATGAGACATTGAAATGGTCTTTATAAGAAACAGAGAAATGTCACTGGTCTGTTCAGTCACTAACTAATTACCATTACTCTGTTTTTTTTTATGAGTATTATACTGTAAGAGCAACAAGCTGGACTCTTGTTCAGCTCCTGTGCAGAGGTTATTATTAAATATGTGCAAACAGCAGCATCTTTTCTCACTCTCCACATCTGTAAGCACAGTAACACCACATTTAAAAAACCCAAACACTTCAACAACCCCCCATTAACGGCGGATTTAACATAGTTTTAACGGAAGATGAATAACTGAGGACTGAAAATGTTTCTGTAGTATTGTTCACTCAAACTGCCTGTAAAATAAGTTCCAGGTTCTGATATCTCAGTTTGTCACTAACACAGCTTATGTATACAAAGTAAAAGAAGCTGGATTAAAATAACAGTGCCTAATATTTATGTAGTCAAAATCTATGTTGAATTTTTCCTCTGATGAATTTTACAGCACAGATTCTGTAGTTTTATTTATAGATTTTTTTAAAGAGTTTTTTTTTTACCTGAATATTTGAAACCAAGTTTGGATTATTCTTAATGAGGTATTGTTTACAACGTTACATGTGCAGTGCTCTGAGGAGCTACCCTCAGATTCAGACCTCAGCATCACCCAGTGACAACAGACAAATCTTCCTATATGTTCACTTTGTATTCTAATTTTTAAAAAGCGTAAAGACTAAAGTACCACATTGCGTGCTGTCAGTGAAAGCTGCAATTGTTTTATTGATAACATTAAAAACAAAGAGTCAAAGGGATTAATCATCCATGTAACTGTGTCACTATATAGGAGCGTAAGCAATTACTTAGTTTGGTGTTTTAAGAAAGCTGCTGATCTCAGACCTGAGACTAGTCATCTGCATGAAGAAGACTTGAAATTTTCCCTGACAGCACGTAATAAAACCTGATGGCAGGTCAAAGGTTAGTTTGTATGTTGAATTTAAAAGTTTTATCTGGAATTCTCTTACTGTGTTCTTCCGGGAGTGTGTTAATTTAAGGTAAAGTAATTCGGTCATTTTGTACCAGAGTAATCAGAGAGGAAAATATACTGTTTAATATATATATTTTTTTAAATATATAACTTTCTACAGGACTGCATAGAACATTATTATTTAAAAGTCAAGAGCCTCTGTGCATTATGCAGTCCCGGTCAAAAGTTTAAAAACATTTGAAAAATGGCAAAAAATCATATTTTGCATGGTTGGACGTTAACAAGTTTCCAAGTTGAGCTTCAACATGCAACAAGAAGAAATTGGAGTGAGACAAAACATTTTTTTGAGCATGCAATTTATTGAAAACAACCCTTAAACTGAAATATGCTGTTTTACCACTGATGAAAAGTTTAGGACCATGTGCTCAAAAAAAGGCATGTGGTCTTAAACTTTTGATCAGCTGTAAAACAGCCTGTTGCACTCCCATTTTCTTGTTGCATTTTTTTTCTTTTAGATGTCGAGACTATCCAATCATTGCCCGACTCTTAAAATCTCCTGTTTCTCTTATGTTTTGTCCATCTAGCCTCTGCCTCTGTGGTTCCTGTCCCAGGAACATTTTCATGGCCCCTAAGCCCCAGAGGGAAGCCCAGGAGGGGCATGCTGCGGCGGGCTGTGTTCTCAGACCTCCAAAGAAAAGGTTTGGAGAGAACCTTCGAGAAGCAAAAATATATTAGCAAACCAGACAGGAAGAAGCTCGCCAGTAAACTGGATCTTAAAGACACCCAGGTACACACCACATCATGGTTTTGGACCATTACTAACACTGTGATTTGACATTTATTTATTCAGTCATGGCCATGAGGAATCTTGTACAATAGTAAAAAAAAATTAACACTCAGTTGATTATATTTTTGGAAGACATGCAAAAGTTGTCTGTAAAGGTTCTCAGTCATCCAGGGCATTGTAGTCTAAGGAGCTTGGAAAGAAAAACATCCGGAGCATCTTCAAGAAACTTAAAGAAGTCCAGATGCTTTTCTTTCCAAGCTCCTTAGACTAGATGCCAAGGTTATGAGATAATTACAAATTTCAGTAAATGGTATTTGTGCTATTAAAACATGTTTATGTGGGAACAGTGGTTCAAGTTCTAGTTTTAGTAGTTTTTTTTAGTTATTCATTTGACACTGTATAAAATAAAAACATGTACAACAATAAATCTTATCCCAAGAAGTTGATTCTGTTCATCTGGACGTAGCGTTTTCAGTGGGAGAAACTTTCATCATTCATCCAAGTGACTTCTTCAGTCTCAGCTGACTGCAGGTTTCCCCAACCTTTTAAACACTGCATTTGCATAATGACTGAAACTAGAACCAGTGGCGAACAATGGGCTGTGAGGTCAGTTCCTTGATCAATAATATGCAAATTGTTCTGACCATTGATCAATGGTATATATTGATATTTCTGAATAATGCAAAATGAAACTCATAGGATAATTATTATAATAATCATAATAATGAAAAAAATGTGTCTGTGAAGGTTCTCAGTCATCCAGGTCATCATAGTCTAAGGAGCTTGGAGAGAAAAGCATCTGGACTTCTTTAAGTTGCTTGAAGACGTTTCACCTCTCATCCGAGAAGCTTCTTCAGTTCTAAGGTCAAATGGTGGAGAGACCCAGATTTAAGCCCAGTGGGAGTTTCCCCCCACAGAGGGACAAAAGGACCCCCTGATGATCCTCTACCTAATCACATGGGCCAAGGCGTGAAAACGGGTGTGGGTCACAGTCAGCCAGGGTTTCGGGTGAGCTCATTGTGAAACCTGGCCCCACCCTATCATGCGATTTCCTGAGGTCAGATGGCCCAGGATGTGAGTGGGCGTTAAGGCGTCTGTGAAGGGAACTCAAAACTGGATTATAGATGGCAGAGAGTTGGTGTCGTAAACCCCCGCCTCTGTTCAAAGATGGTCGCTCACAGTGGACATAAATGGCTTCTTTCACTCCTCTTTCAAACCATCTGTCCTCTCTGTCCAAAATGTGAACATTGGCATCCTCGAAAGAGTGACCTTTATCCTTTAGATGCAGATGGACTGCTGAGTCTTGTCCTGTGGAGGTGGCTCTTCTATGTTGTGCCATGCGCTTGTGAAGTGGCTGTTTGGTCTCTCCAATGTAGAGGTCTGGGCAATCCTCACTGCACTGTACAGCATACACCACGTTGTTAAGTTTGTGTTTAGGAGTTTTGTCCAGAATGCCCTGACTTCTACATTGGAGAAACAAAACAGCCACTTCACAAGCACATGGCACAACATAGAAGAGCCACCTTCATGGGGATTAAATCTGGGACTCTCCATCATTTGACCCTAGAACTCAAGAAGCTTCTCGGATGAGAGGTGAAACGTCTTCAAGCAACTTAAAGAAGTCCAGACGCTTTTCTTTCCAAGCTCCTTAGACTACGATGAACTGGATGACTGAGAACCTTCGCATACATGTCTTAGATATGTACATATTTTTCATTTCAGCCTGAATGCAATCAAAGCACTGCCAGTGTCATGCTCCACCCAGACTCAATGTCTGGGTGGAGCATGTTCCACACCTCTATTGCCAAGGAGTTGCAGCTGCACTGTTGCTAGTGATAATCTGAGAATCAGGTGGTGGACAGTGGAGGTGAAGGGAGCTTTTAGGCTGAAGAAGGATTGGGCTTGGTTAGACTGTGGGTCTCTAGAGGTAGTTGCAAGCTACGTAAGTGGAGTTCAGCTCTGGCAGTGGCTGATGTGAAAAATCAGATGTGGGAGAAGTTTCGGTAGACCATGGAAAAATACTTTTGGTCGACCTCACAGCAATTCTGGCAAACTTTCAGACAACTCAGAAGGGGGAACTGGTGCTCTACTCACACTTAATACAACTGTCCTGGGGACACTACTGACCTCAACTGAGGATATAGTAAAGTGGTGGAAGAAACACACTAAGGATCTCCTCAATCCCAGTGTCAAGATATGTGTAATAGAAGCAGAGTCTGTGGATGAAGGGGAATAGTGGCCTCTTACTGGGAGTGACGTCACAAATTTAGTTGATCAACTGCTCAGTGACAGGGCCCCTGGGATAGATGATGTTTGCCCAGACTTCTTTAAATCTCGGGATGTTGTGTGGCTGTCCTGGTTGACATGTCTTCCCAATGCTGTGTGCAAGTCTGAAGCGGTGGCTATGGATGGGCATACTGGGATGTTGGTCCCCCCTTTTAAAGGAAGGGTACTGGAGGGTGTGCTCAAATTACAGGGAGATCACATTCCTCAGCCTACTTAGAAAAGTATTTGTTCAAATTTTAGGAATCTTGGGGTGTTGTTCACAAGTGAGGGTAGAGTGAAGCATGAGACTAACAGATGGATTGGCTCTGCACAGGCTGTACTAATGTGTTGTGGTGCAAAGAGACCTTAGTTTAAAGGTGAAGCTGTTGATTTACCAGTCAGTTTATGCTCCTACCCTCAACTGTAATCATAAGCTCATGAACTCGGAGAGAAAGAATGAGGTTGTGGATACAAGTGTAGTTTCCTACAAAGGGTGGCTGGGCTGTCCCTTAAGAGAAGGTGAAGAGTAGAGCAGCTGCTCTTCCACATCAAAAAGGATGATTCCTTGACTCCTCCTAGGTAAGCTGTTTCAGCCATACCCTACGGAAAGGAGGTCCTGAGGCAGATCCAGGTCTCGCTGGAGAGATTGTATTTCTAGACTGGCTGTGAAACCACTTGAAGAGGTGACTGGGGTTATGGAAGTTTAGGATTCTCTGTTTAAGGTGACTGCAAACACAAACCCAGATAAGTTGTAGAAAATGGATGGATGTACAGTACATAATAAATAAAAAACCTACGGTCTCTCCTTTATTTACCTTTCTTTTAAAGTGGTGTAGGTTCTCTCCACCGTTGCCAACTATTTGCTCATAGAATATTATCTGCTCAGGGAGGGTCTGTTATCTTTCTGGCCTGTAGGAGGGTGAGGGGAAATAAATCAGAGAAAAGAGAAGTACGGAATATGGTTTGGTTCTTTTCTTTGGTTTGCTGCTACATATGAAAAAAAGTATACATTAAATACTGAAAGAGCAGGAACTTACCAGCTGGCCACCATTAGTAGTTCAAACTTGAATCACAGAGATATTTTCTACTTGATGTTAACCTATTTTTTGTGTCATGTGAAGGTGAAAATCTGGTTCCAAAACCGCAGGATGAAATGGAGAAACTCCAAGGAGAGGGAGCTGCTGTCAACGGGCGGCTGTCGGCAGCAAACCCTCCCCACCAAAACCAATCCCCACCCAGATCTCACTGATGTGGGCAGCACGTACAGCCACAGGCTGAGCAGGATTGCACCATGCAACCACGAGTCGCATCTCTGTTGTCATCATCGTAACCCTTCAACTCTATCAGAGTCAGGCAAACAATCAGAACTGTCACAGTCAGACAGTGAAGAAATCACAGTTTTATAAGAGATTCAGATTAATGGAGTATTCCTAGAAGATGATGGAAGTAAATGAATTAGCTCTCCATTTTGCCCTCTATTTTTTTGTACAGTGTTGTGTATATTACCTTTATAGCATATCTGCACACACTAATTAAAGTATACTGAGCACTTTTAGATTTAATATTTGTAGGGTTTTTTTTTTACTTTAAATATACAAAATGTTCTTTCATTCATATTTGTATTTGTTGCATTCTCTCACACACAAAAGAAATAGAAAAATAAAAGAAACTCATCTAAAATGTCATGTCAGGTGTCCTGTCTACCTTGCCAAATTATGAACACAATGCCAACAACACAAAGAAAGTCGGAAAAACAATCCAAAGGGTTTTTAAAACAATCTGCTCTATGATTCTACTGTAGAAGCAGGTAGGTTAATTCCAAGGAGAGGGAGGGTAGCAGAAAATTACACCACAACAGCGAACAATCAATATGTGACTCCAACATTACTGGAGGGCGAGGCAAAGAGTAAGCATCTGGTTAGATACCATATTTTAAAGGTTATTAGGGCCAAGTACAGTATCCTCAGCTTTATCTGAATTTAGAAGCATGAAATTAGAGGTCATCTGTTCTTTATGCCTTTAAGACATTCATGCAGTTTAATAATTAGTATGGTTATTTGGATTAATGGATGGGTAAAGTTAGGCTTATTTTGAATGGCAGTGAAAATACATGCTATATCTTCTAATGATACTGACTAAGGGAATCATGTATAACATAAATTACTCCTAGCACGTGGTTGGTGCAAGCTGGTGGACACCAGAGGTGAAGGGAGCCATCAGAGAAGCAAAAACTTGGGTGTGGGAGAAAAGTTTTTCTATGGCCTAAGTAATTGCTTTGAGACTTTCGTAAGGCCTCAAAGCAATTATGGCAAACCATCAGGTGACTCAGGAAAGTCCTGCTCTACCAACATGGTGGAGTGTTGCTGACTTCAACTGAGGGTATTGTTAGGTGGTGGTAGGAGTGAAGTCGCTGAGGCACCTAAACAGCTCCTTGGTTGCAGGGCCTGTAAGTGGATGAGTTCCTGAAGCTTGGGTGTTTGCCCAACCACCCTACATGCGTTTTGTGGACTTGGAAAAGACATTTGACTGTGTCCCTCAGAGTATTCTGTGCAAGGTGCTTCGGCAGTCTGGGGAGTCTGGCTTTTTTTGGATGCGTGGTCCTAAACTGTTAATCAGCTGTACAACAGCCTGTTTCAGTTTAAGGCTACGTGTACACTTATCTGGATAAATTTGAAAACGGCTAAAAAGGCTCCGCGTCCACACTATCATTTTCAATCGTTTCCAAACAGTTATTATCCACACCGAAACGACGGAAAACGCTTACATTCCTGTTTTGTGCATGCATGAAACGAAGGACAATTCGACCTGCGTCATTTCTGTCTGTTGTTTATTTACTTTCCGGCTCTTTGAAAGGTCATGCCAAAATGTTGAGAAAATCACAGAGTTTTTTAAATGGTCTGACAATGAGGTGGAGTTGTCGCTGCGAGTAACACAAAAGTACAAAGTTGCAAAAGCGAGTGAGAGTTAAAGAATTTGAAGAAAAGCTATCTGGAGCATGTACAAACTGATATTAATCTTGTCAAGTGCTGTCAAATCTGAGAGCAAACAAAACAAATGCAGTATAATGCCCTCTGCTGTCTTAGTTTAATTGGTCACATGACTGCATCATTTGACTAAAATGCGTCATCGTTTCCGGAAGCCTGTGGTTAAGCAGTCCACACTGTGATGTGAAAATGGCATTTTCAAATGTATCAGCTTTGGAGAGCTCAGTGTGGACGGAAGGCCAAAAAGGAGAGAAAAATGATGGCTTTTCAAATGTAAACGTATTAGTGTGGACATGGCCTTGCTGTTTTCAATAAATTGTATGCTCAAAAGATGTTTTCTCTCACTTCGATTTCTTCTTGTTGCATGTTGAAGCTCTCCTTTGAACCTTGTTAAGATCCAACTATGCAAAATATGATTCTTTTGCCATTTTTCCAGTGTTCTTAAACTTTTGATCGGGACTGTACAATCTGTGGAAATGAGCTTTCTCGAAGGGTAGGCTGGGCTCTCCCTTAGAGATAGGGTGAGGAGCTTGGCCATTTTGGAGGGGCTCAGAGTAGAACCACTATTCTTCCACATCGAAATGAGCCAGTAGAAGTGACACTGACAAGGATTCCTCCTCGGTACCTCCTGCCTGAGATGTTCTGAGGATGTCCCACCAGAAGGAGCCTCCAGGGCAGACCCTGGACACACTGGAGAGATATCTCTTGGCTGGTGCATGATGCAGTGACTGTTTCTTCTTCAGTCACCTTTTTCACTTACTGTGTGTTTATACACCACTTTAATTATTAATTATTATTTATCTCTTGCTCTATTCCTTATTTTACCTATTCCTTTAAAAAGCTCACGTTTAACTGTTCCCTTTTAACTGGTGCTTCTAAAATGGCTGTTGGCATGAATGTTTGTTTGTAATGTGTGACTCTGACCCTGTAACAAGCTAACAACCTCTCCAAGGTGTAACCTGCCTCTTACCCGACTGTAATAGTTCCAGCGACACTGTGACCATAAATTGGATATACAAAACAAAAAAAATGGATTTTTGTGAACTGAATATGCTGGACTTTACTGGACACAATATGACATCAACATGGATTTCTTTTCCCCCCCAACATTTTATATAATATACAATTAACTGATCATGAAAATCATTTAAAACTAAGAATGGTATTACTTAATGAGACACTAGACACTACAAAAGTAGCCTGGCTTTACCTATGATACAATTCAAAAGTCTGTATTTTTCAAAGGATGTTGTTTACAAAGGATGTACAGAATACATTTGAAAGCTAAGGATGGATAAAAATGTATGACCTTTGTAAATAAAATACAAGAATTTTTAATATTTAATAAAGAACCTGAAACCAGCCCTCTGTAAAACATTTCATGAATATAACATACAAAGCACATGCCCTGTGTGTCACTCTGTCTCACTGGGAGGATTGACAGCAGATCCTTGAATGATGTCTCTGATTCTCTGTGTATCCACCAACAGCGCTTCATTATTAGGGTCAATCTTCAGAGCAGCAAGGAAGTCTTGGAGCCCTGAAATTAAATTGTAGGTAGATCAGCTAAGACCTGGACACCTTTTGAGTCACTGTAACAAACACGCTCCACATATTTGACCTTACCCTTGCCCTTAGGTAGGACAAAGTTACTGTCATGCAAGTTACAACTCAAGCCTTGAGTCATGGCTAACAAGTTCTAAGTAAAGTCCGAAACAAATCACTGAGTGCAACACATCAATTTATTGACATTTTAAAGCAACAAACCTTCTGGATAGGCCTGCAGCTCGCAGAAGGCAGATCCTCGACGGACAAAAGCTCGAACTCTGGCAGCTGCATTGGCAGGGACTGGTGGAGTCAGCAGATCAAGTGCCTGCAATAAAAAAAAGTGGGCAGATGTTTACTGTATGCTATTCCTCTGGAAAGTAAATAAATCTTGACCATTCATTGTCAGAGTTGGACCATCCAGAGCATCTGTCAGTCCACCTGTGCAACAAATCCAGTTGTGAAATTTTCTCGCTGCTAAAGTCAATGTTTGTGGTTTTATAACAAAGTGGAAGCCACTGGGAACAACAGCAACTTCAGCCACAAAGTGGCAGACCACGTAAATCAACCGAGCAGGGTCAGCCGATACACAGAAGTTCTGCAGAGTCTGTTTATTTACCATTAGAGCAGTGGATTGGTCTTTTATATGTTCCACTGGAGCACTCAAAGTGCTTAACACAACATGCCTCTTTCACCCATTCATAAAAGCAAATTTTTTTACTTGAGTGCTTTGTATCTAAGATTCACACATTCACACTCATACTCCAATTGTCATGGTCTGGCAGTTCTCACCGGCAGACCTGCCCGTTGTGTCCATGTTTGTGGTGTTTTTTGTTCTTCCTCCTTTTCCCCGTTTCCCCGTTATATGTGTTTATGTTGACGTTCGTGCTCCCGGAAGTTTAGGATCCCCAATGATCATTCGATCCAAAAGTGTTCCTGCTGTGGAGGCAGCCACACCTGTCGCTCATCAGCTGCCGCCAGCGGCAGTGTCCTATTTAACAGTGTGGCTGGATCGTTGAGTTTACCTCATCACTACAGCCGTGGACTTGCTTTAGAAAAACCTCGCTCTGGAGATGGATTGCCTAGCTAACTCACTGTGTTTATCTTCACTAGGAATTGGGAGCAGAGTGTGTTTTCACAGGAGCAGTGTCACGGATTGCATGGGATTTTGCCATTTCACTGTTCACGGACACAAGCACTGTGTGGGGATTTTGAAGAAGATCACCTTGCCGGGACTTGTATATATTTTACCTGTTGTTTTTCACTGTAAATAAATTCACTATTTTCTCTCAGAAGAGTCCCGTGTTTGGGTCCGGATCCTACCTACACCCTGACCCCATTGGATGCTTCAGAGAATACCTTGCGGTTAGTATCTTGTCCAAGGATAATTGTCATGTAGACTGAGGCAGCAAAGGTCCTTCTGAATAGTAGATGGCCTGGTTTACCCCCTAAACCACAGACACCCCTTCTCCATCTGGCAATCCGATGGATGAGTTTTGGTTTGTGTCAGCAGAACAGTACTTGTCTGACTGCAAGTGTAAAGTTTGGTGAAGGTGGGATTATGGTGTGGGGTTATTTTTCAGGTGTTGAAACTCTTAATGCTTCAGCATACTAAGACATTTTGGGCAATTTCATGCTCCCAACTTCATGAGAACAGTTTGGGGATGGTCCCCAAGTGTTCCAACATACAGTGGGGCCAAAAAGTATTTAGTCAGCCACCGATTGTGCAAGTTCCCCC